AAAAAAAAAAAGAATGGTTAATCATAAAAACATGGCAACTATTATGTGCCTACCTCATTCCTAATACTCATAATTAAGTAAGAGTATTTACGTTGTAGAATAAACAGTTGTCACTATTTGGAAAGCTGAAAATATCTTCCTCTTCTAGTTACACTGTTTTTAATGCCCCACCTCACCTCCATCCAATCTCCACTGTTATGATACACGTTGTACCCCTAGAAGTTGGCTTTGATGGGATGCATCAGCCAGTCACCATGACACCTGCCTTCTTTTTGGGTTTGCCCAAGAGAACTATGTTAGTCTGGGTCCTCAGAGAAGGAGACTCTATGACAAAATTAAACATGGAAGAATTTTATTAGTGGAAATACCTGTGTGGATGAAGCTAGGGAGACAGGGGAGACTGGGAAAATCATCAGACTATAATCCAAGTTTGACCATGAGTGAAGGAGGGAGAAAATATTGAGTGAAAGCAATCTGGATTTCTGTGCAGCAAAATCACTGGGAAGTCTTGAAGCTAAAGTCAGAAGACTTTTTTTTTCTTAACCTTCCAGGTGTGGCTCTGCCCTTAGTATCTCCAGGGTCAGTCCTAATCATTGCCTGGAAGCAATCTCTGGTAGGCATGACTTTGGCAAGCAGAGGGGCCCTCATCTGGTTACTTTTTCTGTAGGATGAAGTCTGCAATCTACCTTCTCCTGGCTGCCATAATTTACCCTTTATACAGCTCAGCTCTACTCCCCACGGGTTCAAGAAGTTCCCTTCTCCCCGGAGGGGAAACTCAGAAGACAATAGTGGGATGAATTCTGCAGTTGATCTCAGGGCTGCAACTAATGCTCATCATTGCCTTCCTCCACTCTCCAATCTGGATTTCCCTCACCATTGGCTATCTCCAAGGCAGGTGTTGTGACTTACCTGTGTGGCCCCAAACTTCATTCTGAAAGTGTCTAAACACTTGAGGGTCATATCTCCTTTTTAGTTCAGGATGTTTTCACATGTTCATTTAGTCTTATGATAGGGCAAGGGAGTACCAGTATGTACCCAAGTAAATCACCTGGTTTCACATGATTCCTTCCTGCTGACTTGAGAAAGAAGCCATACCTCTTCCTGCTAAAGTGGAAGGAAGCCCTGAACCTTCAAAATTCTACTGGCAAGAAACAGGCTAAAAATTACTCAGCTGCAAACGTATGTAACCATTCACGAAAAAATAAGGATCACTAAGGGTGAAACCATGAACCGAGAAGATAGAACTAAGTTCCCCACAGGGTGGAGCCAAGAGTCCTAGAGAATTAGCTGTAAAACATAAAACCTAGTCAAGGAACTCCAGCTAGAGTTTGCTTGCTCAGCTTCTTCTGCCCCAATACCTGAGACTCCATTCAGATGTGTTGCCTCCCTCATAGTTTATGAGAAAATTGTTTATTTATAAGACCATTATTTATACGAACATTAGCATAGTTATCTATAATTTGTTTTGAGAGACTTAGGACATCTCAAGACAAAAATTCCTCAGTGGAGATAATGAAAATGAAGAGGACTTGGCATTAAACTAGCCTCCAAAGACTTGAAAGCCAAGCAGAGAGTGATTAAAGCTTGACCAGGATATCAATCATATGAACATTGTTCTAATTTTTGCATGGCTAGAAACAATTCTATAGGCATGAAGGGTAAACTAGTCAGTTAACATATTTGTCATTAACAGCACTGCAACCGGTTTCAAGGGTTAATTGCTGCAAGCTAATGCACACCTTGTGTGCTGACATAAGTCCTTTGGTTGCAGCAGAACTCATTTGCTTTCCTTGACAACTGCAGAACACTAGCCTTGAGGAGTAAAGGGCCAGAAATTTCCCACATAAGGCCTAACTATACTCAAAACAGCCACCAGGGATGCCAGCAGGTCTGTTCAGGGTCATGTCTGCATACAACTAAATACCTGGGCACCTGTTTCTCTTGCACGTAACTCCCCTACCTGCCCTATGCCTTCCTTTAAATCCCTCTAGTTATGCCTGGACAGGAAAGACAGGCTCTGAGACATTAGTCCACCATCTTCCAGGGTTGCTTGCTTCTGGAATAAAGCAATCTTTCCTCACCCACCATCATTTATCTCTCCAGTGTTGATTTTTCAAGCAGCATGCAGCTGAACCGGAGTTCGGAACCAGTTCGTTGTCCAGTAATATCAACTGTCACATTTTCAGCAAGGCCACAGGAGAGAAGTCAAGGCCACAGGAGAGAAGTCATGCTGCAGTAAACACAATCAACCATAGATTAATAACACTTGTGAAGAAAGAAAAATACCAGTGAGAAAAGAAACACAGGCTTCCTTTCCATGCCTTCTCTGATTTTCAGTTTCCCAAGTTTTCACAGAACCAGGTGCTGCTGCCAATTTCCCAGTACATTTTCCCAAGGTGTGCTGTGTTCAGACCTTAATAAATCTTTAGCCCATAATTTCAGCAAAACAAAAACAAAAACAAAAACAAAACAAAATAAGGCTACTCATGTTTAAAGAATATCTCACCAAAACAGAACAAAAAAATATTTACAGCATGTGGATTCCCTTCTGTATCTCAAATCCTTTCAAATAAGATTAAAAGAAAATCACTCTCAGATCTCAACAAAAACTAAGCCTCCTGTTATCACAGCTCTTCAGGCTAATGAATGCCTCAGTCCCCTTCACTCCTGACATATATAGGTCATTTAAATCATAAGCCATTGAGCTGAATAGTTTGGCTTTGGTTTGAATTTGGTCTGTTTTGTGGAGGATTAACTATCTGACCTTGGTCCTCTAACCAGACAGGCAGGACTCTTCCTCAAACCTACTGCTCCTATTTCTTCCATTCATAGAAAAGGCACTTCCTGTTCAATCCTCATTTTTTTTCCGCCTCAAGCCTGTGCCCTTTATTTCAAGTTCTGAAATGTCCTAGCCCTTGGTATCCAACGGTTCAGCATACTGGAAACATTTGTTATTATTTCTTACCGCAGGCACAACACTCTGGAGAAGTTTCATTTCTTTCCCTCCTGGTAAACTATTGTAAGAGACTCACTTAAATGGTGGTCATGTGGCTTTAACCATAGGCATCATTTTTACTGAATTCTGCCTCATATATTAGTTATACAATATGATGAACAACACTAGAATCTTTCTGGTTTCAGCTTCATGAAATTTACAATATTCACCATTATATCTACAATAACCTTCTAGAATGACAAACGATATCCTCTGAATTAATGAATTCCCACACGTGGGCACAAGACCTGAACTGCACAGCTGCCATGAGTACCTGTTCAGGACGTCCTCCTGGGCACCCATAGAAATTGCCTTACAGAGGTCTGCATTCAAAGGTTTCCAGTACAAAATCGATTTTTGTAGCTATAACTATTAGCAGGGCATTCTCAGACATTTTCTTTGTGAGACATTCTTGTCAAACAGTGAATTCATTCAGAGGAGCAGAACAGTTGACTCTGGGAGTTTCTACAAGTAGGAAATTAGGTCCAATGCTTGTAAACCTTTACGGTCAGGAGCTTCTCCTTTTTCCTTTTCCTCTGAGAGCTGTCTGAGACTGGCAGCTCATGTCTCCTGTGCATATTCCTTTGTTCTTCATGGAAATAACCAGTCTCTTACCCAAACGTAGGGTGAACTAGCAGAGAAAATAAAGCAGTGACTGTAAATGTTAATTTACTCTTCCTTGTCCTTTCTCATTGCCCCCTATCTCCACCCCCCCGTTTCCCCTGAAGCAAACAAATACAAATGCATGCCCACACCCACATAATTCTTGCTCTCATATGGTAAAGTGGTGGGCCAGTTATTTTTGCTCAATGTTGTCTCCATATGGAAACATCCTAACTTATTTTCTATGCACTCTGTGTGTTTTGTTGAAAGTGCTTTTAAAAACATGATCAATATAACTTTCCCAACTGGCATGTCAAGAAAGGAGAGAATATGTCATTATTCTAACTTCATAGGCAACGATTCTTCCTTTAGACCTTTAGAGTTACTGAGAGCAAGGAGGTCTCCTGTGACATAGCCTCTCTGTCCAAGAGTGGGACAGTCAATCTGCCCAATACGACATATCTCATCACCAGTCAATACTCCCAGGAACTGCCTCCACTAAACATTTTTTCCTCATACCCACTACTGCTGGATGATCAGACAGGCTTCTGACCATGGGTTATGGTTACAGGGTCCTTCTTCCAGCACCCGTATTTGGTCAATTTGTCCCGAAACTCTTTGGTTTTCACTGCATAAATAATAGGATTGAGCATTGGAGGAACAAGGAAGTAGAGGTTCCCAAGAATGGTGTGCACATGGGGTGCAATTCCCCTACCAAAGCGGTGAGTGAGAAAAGAGAACAGCGAGGGAGTGTATGAGATAAGCATGACACAAATGTGTGTGGTGCAGGTGTTGACTGCTTTGTGGTGGGCTTCCTTAGAAGATAGTCGCAGTACAGCCCGGATGATAAGCACATATGATGAAGCAATAGCTGAGATGTCCAGCCCAGCAACCAACAAGGCCACCACGAGACCATATATCCTGTTGACTGTGGTGTCCACACACACCATCTTCACCACAGCCATGTGCTCACAGTAGGTGGTGGGGATGACGTGATTTACATGAAAGGGCATCTTCTGGAGGAGGACAGGCATGGGCAGAATGAAAAGGATGGCTCTCACTAAACTCACCAGGCCAATGAGCCCAATGCGACTATTGGAAAGGATGGTGGCATAACGCAGAGGTTCACAGATGGCTACATAGCGGTCAAAGGCCATGGTCATCAGGATGGCTGACTGCAACGCTGATATGGAGTGGATGAAGAACATTTGGACCAGGCATCCCACATAGCTGATCTCACTCTGGCCAAACCAGAAGATGCACAGCACCTTAGGAATGGTGGTAGTGGACATGCCCAGGTCTGTGAGGGCCAACATGCAGAGGAGCAGGAACATGGGTTTGTGCAGGGAGCGCTCTGTGCAGATGGTGAAGATGATGGTGCAGTTCCCAAGGATGGTGATGAAGTACATGGAAGAGAAGGGGACAGAGATCCATCTGTGCTTGTTCTCCATCCCAGGAATGCCTTGGAGAATGAAGAAAGGTGGGTGACCCAGGGACGCATTGCAAACGGTCATGGTGATTCTTTGGGGAAATACCTGAGAAGAACAATAAAAAAAACTTCATGAGCCTCAAACTCCAAAAGAATCAATGTTTTCAAAATGGAAAACTAAAAAGGTGGAATGTGTAGACACTCAAAAATGATTCTGGAATCAAGCTAACATATGTCATGTAGTATAGTAGAATGCTGTCATGTTAGAGTTATAATAATGTGGTGTAACATCTGACAAATACATATTTCATTTTGAATGTGTTATTCATGATGAACTGAATCATTATTCACACAAGACATCATTTTCACAAAAATTATTATGTGTAATTTTGAATGTGTATCCATTTAGAGAATGTCACTTGAAGCCTGTGAGGCAAATGTGGATAGAAATACCAGCCACTGTGACAGAGTATTCAAAACCACTCTCAGTCCACTTAAGATGAAATAAGTCCACAAAAGAGCTGTTCAGTGAGGATCAAGAATGAAGCAAGTGACAGGGCTCTGGGAACCTGAGACCAGGATATCAGGATGGAAGTGCGAAGCCACCTCACCTGAACCACTTACCGGAATAGGAGGCAGGCAGAGTGTGGGAAGCTGGTCCTGGACACCTTCTTCAAATGTGTGTGTGTGAGTGTGTGTGGCTGTATGTTGCTATATCTACACATACACCCGTGTGGCTCATGGGGAACACACTCTGTGCCCGGCATGTCTCCACTCGTCACTCTCGGCACCCACAATCCATGGTATGGCCCTTTAAGTAACCTAAGCAAAGTCCCCCTAGGTGCCCAGAATTAGCTCTTTGCTACTCCCTCCTTCCCAAATGCATACTCTCAAGGCACCACTGCTATTTTGGATAAACTTGACCCTGGAGGTTTCCCTAAGCTCCCAGGGGATGAGGCTGGTTGACCCTAGCAGTTCTGGGCATGTTCCAGTCTTTGGCAGTCCTGGAGGAGCCTGAGAGGAGACAGTGAAATTAAAGCTAAATCTGGAAGTAGAGGAGTTCCTGGCCGCTTATATTCCAAAGGCTCTCTTTCCCAGCTATGTATAAGTGTGGGAAGCCGGTAGGACCTTACTCCATGACTGGGGTAGTCATGCTCCTGAAGGCGTCAGAGATACAGCCCCTGTTGTTGGATACCCTGGTAAAATGTTGTTAGCAGCTCTAGCTCCATCTGTCCTTATTGTCTTCCAGGTTTTTTACTCTAACGTGTTTCCTAGGCCAATGGCTTTACCATAGACGTTCCCTCAGGGTATGTTCTGCAATCCCACTTCTCATATCCCAGCATCCCCTCAGCTTCTGGGTCAAGATATAGCATATTTGTTTTTCGTTAGGTCAGAGGAAGAAAATTTGCCCAAAATAGTCTAGCACATCCATTGCATAATGCAAAGGACAGGTCCAACTACTCTCAAAATCATACAAAGACAATTCAGAAGTAAGACTCAAAGGGCTAGATTCTAAATTGTAATCTGTTGGGGCACCTGGCTGGCTCAGTCAGTTAAGCATTGGACTTCAGCTTAGCTCATGATCTCGTGGTTCATGAGTTTGATCCCCACATGGGGCTCAATGTTGGCAGTTCAGAGCCTAGAGACTGTTTGGATTCTGTGTCTCCCTCTCTCTCTGCCCCTCCCCTGCTCATGCAATTTTTCTCTCTCTCTCTCAAAAATAAATAAACATTAAAATAGAATTTTAAATTGAGATATCTAAATTGTAGTGCAAGTTCTGCCTTAGCCTAGCCCTGTAGGGAAACTTGGTCAAAGTCAGGTGTCAGCAGGAGTAAAGCAGGGGCTGAGGGAAGGAGTGGCAGAATGAAGAGCCTGGAACAATCAATACATCAACAGAAAGAATCATCAACAAATGTAGATAAGCATGGGGTACCTGCTCATAGTCATATCCACACAGCCTTCCCTGCAGAAAGCTGTGCTCTGGTACCACATCAGAATCCTGCATCAGTCATTCTTTCTTCTCTGTCCCAGCGAGATCCTGATGGATGACAATGACAGGTAGCAACCAGAAAGAATCCTTTCTTCCTAGACTTGTTTTCTCACTTTTACATCCATGGTCCGGTGAATTCCCTGCATAGAACCTCTAAAGAATCTCTTCTTGTAGAGTGTCCCCAAAGTCCTATCAAGTGCTGACATAGTACTGCATCCTTGACCTCTCTTTCACAACTTTTAATCTTGTTCTTTGGATAATCACACTACCCAGGGAGAATAGCCCTGGTCTGATTTCTTCCAAAAACCTGTATCCCAGTCACTAGCATCATGCTTGGCATTAGTGGGCAGATTAGAAGAGTCAAATAAATGAGTAAGTTAGTGAATAAGAAAACAAAATAATTTATTTTAAATATGAACTAATTATGTGTCATAATTTATGAGATCTTACATGGTTTTGTTTTCTAGTGTCATAAAAACCAAAAACAGAACTATATTTGAAGGCTATGCCTTCTCCTTCAAATGAATTCATAAATCAGTGCCAATCCAAACAAATTTCAATTATTCACTTTCCTTGTAATCTTGACAAAATAATTCTGAAATCCAACTGGAATAACAAATATCTGAAAATAATAATGATATAACACAGGGACTATTGTCCTACTAGATATTAAAATGTATCATAACATGGTTGTACTTTAAATAATTTATGGTACAGGCAGCATACCATAAATAAGGTATGGTACAGGCACAGGCAGATTATTTGAGCAGAATAGCATCAATACAAATGCCTAAATCCATATACCATATGTTACATAATAAAGACAGTATCTCCAAACCATGGAGAAAATATGGATTATAGATAATATAACTATATAGAAATAACTCTGTATATTTCATATAACTCATGATATTTTCAAGCCTGTCAATGATAATATGGGTTACTCTTATTTTCATCTGTTAGAAACAGAAAGCTTATACAGAATAATATAGGATGTATCCATATATTCACAATACAGATTAAGAAATGTTACATGGCAACACAAACAGACACTCAGATCAATGGAACAGAGTAGACAACCCAGAAATGGACCCACAAAAGTATGGCCAACTAATCTTCGACAAAGCATGAAAGAATATCCAGTGGAATAAAGGTAGTCTCTTCAGCAAGTGGTGCTGGGAAAACTGGACAGCAACATGCAGAAGAATGAACCTAGACCACTTTCTCACACCATACACAAAAATAAACTCAAAATGGATAAAAGACCTAAATGCAAGACAAGAATCCATCAAAATCCTAGAGGAGAAAGCAGGTAAAAACCTCTTTGAATTTGACCACAGCAACTTCTTACTCAACACGTCTCTGGAAGCAAGGGAAACAAAGGCAAAAAGGAACTTTGGGGACGTCATCAAAATAAAAAGCTTCTGCACAGCAAAAGAAACAATCAACAAAACTAAAAGGCAACTGACAGCATGGGAGAAGATATTGCAAATGACATATCAGATAAAGGGTTAGTATCCAAAATCTATAAAGAACTTATCAAACTTATCAAACTCAACAACCAAAAAACAAATAATCCAGTG